GAGCACTGGGTTGAGTCCCGGCTGCTCCACTTCTGACCCAGCTCCCTGCTGTGCTCTGGCAAAGCAGTGGAATGGTCCGAGTGCTTGGGCCCCTGCACTTGCAGAGGAGACAGGGACAGAGCTCCAGGCTCACAGCTTCAACCCGGCCCAGCCCCACTTTGCAGCTGTGTGGTGTGAACCAGCGGGTAGATCTCTCTCTGTAACTCTGCCATCCAACAAAATAGACACATCTTTAAAAACAAAGCCACACTGTGTGGCTCCTGCAGGGTTCCAGAGAGGGGGTGGGAGAAGCAAGCAGAGCAGGACCACACAAGCACCTCCCGGGCCGTGGGTCACACCCAGGTGAGGTGGGCTTCAGGCCGGGAGGAGGATTGCCCGGGACGCAGGTGAGGTGGGCTTCAGGCCGGGAGGAGGATGTGCCCGGGACCCGGGTGAGGTGGGCTTCAGGCCGGGAGGGGGATGTGCCCAGGACGCAGGTGAGGTGGGCTTCAGGCTGGGAGGAGGATTGCCCGGGACGCAGCAGCATTTTTATGGTATCCCTATCCAAATGACGGAACCTGACTCTGATCATGAGGAAACAGGAGACAACTCCAAAGGGCAGACATTCCACAAAACACGGCTACAAAACTCCCTGCGAGAGCGTAGCAGACGGACGGAGGGGCTGTTCCAGCCATGACGAGGCCGGGGGCCTGCAGCTCGCTGTCCTCCTGGACTGCACCGGGCCAGGTCGGCGGTCTCAGGGAGGCGAGAGCACGCTACCACGTGAATTCCTGACGTGGCGGAGTGCGTGGGGTGTCACAGAACGTCACTGCCTGTGCAAAGTGCACTGAGGGGCATCCTGCCTGCTCCTCCCTCTCAAACGTTTCAGAGGAAAACCACCATGATTTTAAAAGTCATATACCTGCAGATACGCATGCATGTGCACATATATGTAAACCTGTAGATACGCATGCATGTGCACATATGTAAACCTGTAGATACGCATGCATGTGCACATATATGTGTGTACCTGTAGATGTGTATGTGTGTGTACATGTATGTGTATACCTATAGATATGCATGTGCACATATATGTGTATACCTGCAGATATGCATGTTGTACATATATGTATACCTGTAGATACACATGCATGTGCACATATATGTATACCTGTAGATGTGTATGCGTGTGTACATATATGTGTATACCTATAGATACACATGCATGTGCACATATATGCGTGTACCTGTAGATACGCATGCATGTGTACATATATGTATACCTGTAGATACACATGCATGTATATATGCATATGCCTGTAGTTATGTACACATTTGTACATATACGTATGCACCTGTAGATATGCATGCAGGTGTACATATATGTGACACATGTAGATATGCATGTATGTGAACACACATGTATGTACCTGTATATATGCATGCATGTGTACATATGCCTATCTATAGAGAGAAAGGAGCGGGACAGGGGAGATTCCCACCCACTGGTTCACCCTTCGATTGCCGGCAGTGGCTGGGGCCAGGCTGCAGCTGGGAGCTCGGAACCCAATCCAGGTGTCCCACATGGGTGACAGGGACTCAACTACCTGAGCCGTCACCTGCTACCCCCCAGGACACACATCAGCGGGAAGTTGGAATTGGGAGCAGAGTCCAGACTTGAACCCAGACACGCGGATATGGGATGCCGGTGTCACAGGCAGTGGCTTTCCTGCTGTGCCCAGTGCCGGCCCTAGCTGCACGCTTATACCGCAGGCTGAGCCAAGGTCTGTGAACGGCACAGCCTGGAGCCCAGCGGCTGCGCCAGCCCGAGTGCTTCTGCCCTGGGCTCCTTCGGGTGTGAGTTTGGGCCACAACGAGGCTCAGCTAAGGCTGGGGCCGAAGCAGCAGTGCTCAGGGCGACTTTGCACGGAGGGAAACGCCACTGGTACCTTCAGCTCCTAGCGTCACACAATAGTACATCACCACGCAGGGCCAGCACTGTGGCTTAGCAGGTAAAGCCACCGCCTGCAGTGCCGGCATCCCATAGGGGCGCCAGTTCAGGTCCTGGCTGCTCCAGTTCTGATCCAGCTCTCTGCTGTGGCCTGGGAAAGCAGTAGGGGGTGACCCAAGTCCTTGGGCCCCTGCACCCGCATGGGAGACCCGAAGAAGCTCCTGGCTCCTGGCTTCAGATCAGCACAGCTCTGGCCATTGTTGTGGCCAATTGGGGAGTGAACCAGTGGATGGAAGACACCCCCACCCCACCCCTTTTCCTTCTCTCTTTATGTAACTCTTTCAAATAAATCTTTAAAAATGTATGTCGTCGTGGCTGCTTCTGCTTTTTTTTACAAAACAACCGGCGGCAGGGAAGCCGAGAGCCGTCACCCCTGCCCAGCTCCTCTCTGCCTTCCCTTCAGCCAGTGCCCTCAGAGTGCACCCTTGAAGCCCAGTGACACAATTCACGACCCCGTATGTGAAAGTCTGCAGAGCCAAGGCTCCATAAACCATCACCACATCTTCCTCCAGCGTCCGTCGGCGCTCGGCACCCCCTGCCCGCTTTCCCGAGGAGCCCGTGAACTTCGCTCTGAGAAAGGCTGGGTCCCGTTCCAGGGAGCGAGAGGTGCACCTGGACCTTCACTCCTCTGCGCTGCCAGCAGGCGCCCCGGGTCACCCCAGGTCGCTGCCTGCAGAACTGCGCCCCGCACCCATTGGCACCTGGGTTCCCTGCACGTGTGCCCAGGAGCACGTGGCCAGCCCTGGGTCGCTGGGTCCCAGCCCCACGGTGGCCCCTTTCGGAGAAACCCAACTGTTCCGACTGGGCCTCTAGCAGCCAGACGTCACAGGCAGTGCCTGCGGCTGGGCACACGAGGCCAAAACCCCGCCTGGCTTGCCCCACTCCCTCCAGAGGCGCCTCTGCGGGCGCGGCCAGAGCCCACTTTCTCTTTAGATTTATTTCAGTAATGGAGAGAGGGGACACACAGAGAAAGAGCCGTCCCCTCCTCCCCAAGGACCCACCCGGCGGGGCACGTGGGTGCAGGGGCCGCAGCCTCCAGCCACCCTGCACCAGCTTCCCGGGGGCGGGAGGGGCCGTGCAGGCGCCAGGAGCCCCACCGGCGGGGCGCGTGGGTGCAGGGGTCCAGCCTGGAGTCACCGTGCACCAGCTTCCCGGGCGCGGGAGGCGACGTGGGTGCAGGAGCCCCACCGGCGGGGCACGTGGGTGCAGGGGTCCAGCCTGGAGTCACCGTGCACCAGCTTCCTGGGCGAGCAGGGACATGCAGCGCCGG